ACCCACCCAACGCAGACGACGCGATCGAACAGAATTCCTGTACTTGTTGTGTGAAACCCAAAGTCATTTTTGCTAACTCCAACATACCATGAAATATTCCCGCTGGAATATGTGCAGTCTTGCGTCTTTAATAGTTTGTGACTGCGTATTTGTAAATATCTAAGATCTTTATAATAAATTTGTATACATGTGCTATGTCGTTAATTCTTCTGCTCAATCATAATTGAAAACCGTCTATTCCAAACAGAGGTAATTGTGAAATCTAATAATTTTTTTCTTCTAAAGACAGAAGCACTTGATCTCCATACAGTTGGTATCTTAAAATGTGGTCAGTGACCATACAGTAAAGATGTCAATTTGACTTATTTGCAAATCAGTGCGTTTGTTTTATTTACTTTGCCCCAAAGAATTATAATTTCGTTTGCATCAAAAAAGTTATGCCATCCGAAAAGATTAACGCATAACTTTGACACACGTTGATATATGATTTCGGCTGGATATTTACAATCGGAGACTGAAGAAAATTCTTTTACAAATAATAAATCTTCTCCAATCAACTACATGCGTGAAGGTTACCCTTACTGCCTAAGATTAACTTTTACTTTTACTGGTATACAGGTGATGTTCATCAAAGGCTAATCAAATGAGTTGCTTATGTACCTCATCACACATATCACTTATTGGAATTGCCCGTTTTTAGTTAAACCCGGATAAACGCAAGCCGCTTTCAGTTTTACCACAATGCTGGTTAATTCCGAACCGCACAATCTCTAGGCTACACGAATCACTCACGCACATGCATGTAAGTGCAAAAGAGGAATGAACAGGTTAATGCACCAGCAATACAAAGGATGGGCCAACCAAACTTAAGTTATCAATGAGTTATATGTAATGAATATACTACACATTCAATGCTTTCTTGCCAGTGCCCACATTTTTTTCGTCGGAACGTGAAATAAACCAATCATTCCGGTTAACTACATGGGGTCTAGGATATACTTTATTCGCGTTACATTGCTGTGAAGCATGTGTGTGGTAAAAAGCGCTAGGTTTTCTGCCACACGATGCACACACATTATGCATGCAGTCTAAACGTGGAGTAATTACAGAGTGTCGGAGTGCGTGAGTGTAGATCAAGTGAAGTAACTATTCTATAACCCCATGAAATTTAGCTTAAAATCTGCTAACCCTGAATCCAAGAAAGTCGGAATAATTTCGCAAACTATTACTTGGATGACCCGGAATGTGAAAAAAGTTTCTTGACCTAACGTTACATTGTTTTTAATTATGGAGACGCGTTAATATTCTGCGATTTCGCATTGACAGATAACAAGTGGTAAAAGTAATATGTCCAATAAATGCGATCTGTGGATTTATGTTATAAAATGTCGTTCTAGATGAAATAATATTTGACATGTATAAAAAATCGAAGATAATCCTTCCAGTTGCAGAATTTAAGTCTATTAGCTTTCAATTAACCGCTGTTTTTAGGTAGTTGGGTGGCGTTTTTACGTGTAGGACGTTAATTCACCATAATAAAATTTTTAAAAGCAATCAATTCACCAAGCACAATTACAGGATTCAGGGATTTAAGCAAGGAAATAAACGGCCTTTTAGAGAGGAAAAATGGTAGAAGCTGGATGAACTCTATGAAAGCATGTTCACGCGATGACACAAAAACGGAGTGACACAGTTCTTCCGCCAAATACTTTTCATGGGCGTAATCATAGGTACTTTATGCCGACAAACACAATTTCTCAACGTTGTTGAAGTGAACCCGTTTTTTGTTTCACTGAATTCAACTTGTAAAAGAAAAACGAGACAAATTTTCCTGTTTAACTCGTAATTTCTTTCAGGCAACTGTGGGTGTTATGGTTGCTTTGTGTAGGTATCCAAACAAGAGGCTATATATAGCTTTATGAATTCTAGGATTTTATAAAAATTGACGTCAACTTTAAGGGCGAAAGTTAAATAGGGCAGCTTATACCGTATTAAAGCATCTCAGACAAATTTTAGTTAAATCTGCAATTTGTTAGGAGTTATGACGGGGATTGAACAAAGTACGTTATGGGGAAAAAGGAGACAGGAAGCAGTTGAGTGCTGAAAAGTATTGCGTCTCTCTAATGTCTTTGATGAACTACGGTTGTCCTTCACCTTCACGAATTAACTTTGAGAGGCCACATTACATAATACTAAGCATATCACTTGGCTTTAGGGGAGTTTAAATGGTCTCAGTGATTACCTGCAATTCAGGAAGTTCCACCAAGCGATGCCTGCTTAATTTAAGGACAGGAATTTGAACTGCAATCGTGGATCAACTCAAAGATTTAAACGTTTGTTTGCAGTCATGACAAATGGTGTTAATCCTAGAGAGTTTAACATGGACGAATTTGCAATAGGAACGGTTTTTTTATGCGGACTAAAAGCAGCAGGTGGATTGTTTTTGGGGCAATTTATTGGATGGCTTATGCTCCGTCCAGTATTCTGAACATTGTCAGCAAAAATCTTATTTAGAACATACTTCCAGCCTAAGAACAGCTTGACCGGTCAGATTTTCGTATTCATTATTCTGCAAAATTTAAATGACATGGAACTAGAAACAACCTGAATCCTTCCACTTCCCATACAAAGCCTATTATAACTTGTGTTTAGGAGCAATTCTGCGAGCTACGGACAGTAGAGTTACGAGTTTTAACACAAAAGGAGGTGAATTTAAAACACAATGCGATTCCTAGTGAGTAGACATCAAGCCCATCATCTTTAGTGACTGCTAGCATAAACCTAACAAATGCCACAGGATAATTGCATCCAAAAGAATCGTTGCACACTTTTATTTTGAAACGTAAATCTAGAAGTCATAAATCATATTTCAAACCTGAACACTTCTAAAATAGGCCTTTGGAGTTTTGCGTGAAAACCACTTTTGACAGTGAAAATCCCACACTCAAACCATTGTGAAACGGATCTAGAAACCGACAGCCAACTTACAGCAATGGATGATCATGACAAGTACCCAGCACGTGCAGTCACAATCGACAGTAGAAAACCTCATTCAGACTAAATTGCATATAATCAAAAGCCATTTGAAATTCGGTGAGGTAAGATAAGCAGATTGCATGTAAGCAATGTCGGTAGACACTTAGCTTTAACAAATTTGCTCTTTGAAGTTCCGAAGAAATCAGAATCGCTAAGAGTACTCGAATGCCGATTTGTTAGAACTAAAGCGTTCATTACCCAATGGTTTATTGAGGACGCAGCCATACTCGAAGGAAAATTTCGCATGGCTTAGGGACTTTTAAGCTAAACCTAAAAGAACTAAGGTCCAAACCTACCCCATGTTTCGGCTTAATGCAAGCGGAATCTTTAACCACCGGTTCTGCATATATTTGTTCTTGATAAAAATAAATCGGCGCGATCGTGACGGCATCTGGTGAGAGACGAGGGCCCGGGGTTGATGCACAAACGAGGTCAACGAGATCCCCATCTTCCCATTACACACACTAAGCATCTCTCCTCCGAGATTCTGTTATTCGAAGGCACATTTGCTCTAGGTAAAGAAACGCGGACCGACACGACGACTGGTAACACTGCCAGCACTCTGTAGTACCTACAGTAAGTCAGGACTCACACCATCGGCCTATAACCAGTCAATACCTGACACCACGGACCGAAATTTTAGAGAATTTTAGTTAAACTATTCGATATCTCGAACGTGAACATGAACGCACAAACTACCTTTATCTGATCACAGTGCCTACCCGCGGAAATTGAGTCCACTAGTTATGGACGACAGGACCATATGAAAAATAAACGTAACCAAAACTAATTCACATACAAATGACGTAAACGCACCGAAATCCCCTGTTTATTGGTTTGTGACATAGAGCAAGACGTCAGGCGGTTCACACCTGAGCGCAAACTAAGCTCTTATTCGCCCGATTAGAAAACTCGCTACCTAAAATCACTCCCGACTGCCACAGGCTGCAGGTCTATTATCGGGGATCAGTATCCACCGCAGTTAGCAAGGTTACTCCCGAAGCAAACCCTTTAACTGAGCTTGACGTCCATCAAATATTGATGTCAAAAAAAGTACACGGAAAATTTTTCTTCAGAATTCCTAGGAAATCACGCCTGGATGAAGGGGAGGGACTGAAGATCATTGGTAAAATTACAGCCTCAATGACCACATACGAGTAAGTATCAACCAGCACCACTGGGCTGCTGTGGCATGTAAAGCTGAACAGAGTGAGCCGGAGTGTGAACATTCTGGGGGAGGGTGAACGCGTTTTGAACACCTTGAGGAGGCACACCCATGGTCATAGCCTGAGCGAATAACTGCTGAGCGGTAATGTACGGATTCGCAGCCAACAATATCTGGGGTTGGGGTTGCTGTTGAACGGACTGTACAGGACCTTGTTGTTGGCCGGGCTGCAACTGAAGCGGCTGTGGAGGGATGAGAGGTTGCTGATTCTGATGGTGCAACTGAGAGTTAATTTGAGGGGGTTGACTGTTGGCTCCAACTTGATGAACAGGGAATTGGATCAAACCAGGTGCCTGATAAATGGACTGCGGATAAAAACTAAGAGCCCCTGGCGGAGCCTGGGATCCAATCAACTGACCAGCAGTGTATTGTGGATAAGCGGCCACAGTTGCAGGTTGTCCTTGAATGGCACCAATTTGATGATTATACCCGGCGTGGAATTGCGGCCCTTGCGATTGAGGAGCAGATGTGATTGGCTGCGAACTAGGCTGCGCATGATTCACTTGACCCGATTGTGGCTGAGTAGGCACACCGGCAGTCTGCTGCCCAGAAGCCTGTGAAGAAGGCACGGCACCGGTCAACGCATGCATCCCAGGATAGGCAGTTGACTGAAGACTCCCCGAGACCGCAGGAATAAAAGGTACACTAATTGGGTAAGATGCGGTCTGTACAAAAGAAAATCCTTGAGGTGGAAATAACGAGAAGGGCATTTGCTGGGCCCCAGAATTGGTTTGGTCAACAGAGCGCTGTCTCGTGTACGTTCCAGTGGGCACGGCCTGTCTCAGAGTTTTTGAACCAGCTGCCGACTGAACTGCACTTTGTTGAGCAGAAAATGTCCCTGAAGCAGAAAGCTGCTGAGACATCATGGCTAACTGTTGCGGAGAAAATCCTGTTTGCGGCGGTTGTCGTAATGCAGCCAGCTGAGGGGCCATAATGGGAGGTATCATGCAGGACATTGAAGAAGGTAAACTAAATGGAGCCGTCGAGGCACTCCCATTCGGCAAAGAATGCTGGCCAGCAACGGTAAAGCCGGGCATCTGCAATGGACTGCACGGAACCGGCTGTGAATAAGGAGCAGGGGTAAACGCAAGTGAACCAGCGGGCAAAGTTTGAGGAGTCGAACTCGGCTCAATGGGCAGAACAATTCCAGAGGGCTTAAACTCAGGTGCGTCAGGATCAAGAGTAAACTTTTTTTTTTCAGCTTTCTTTCCGGGACCGTCAACAGGCACTGACGAATCCGCATCTGGTGAGGTGGAAACATTTGTTGAATTTTCCAAGGCCGCAGGCGTAATATCATGCGAACTTGACTTGGGACTAGGAGGCTTATCAACACCACCATCAGATGTTTGTGATTTACTAGATGACGACTCCACATGAGTCTTCGGCAGATCACGGAAGGGCACAGAGGCGGCCGCTTTCAGCGAACGGCCGTCGCCAGGTCGATGCGCATCTGGGTAGTCTCGCGGGAGCGACGCACGCTTGCTCCCACGTCCACCTCTTCTGCCGCTGCGGAAGCCTTTTAATTCTCGCCCCTGAACACCATCTTGTAGAACAGCGCTGTACCTAAGTTCTTCATTTTCAGCTTCATCGTCGGCAATGCTATCCCAAGCCGACCCCTGGTCCTTCACATCTTGAATTTCTTCCGCAATTTTCGTGTAATATACTTCCTTAGTCTTATAATTCGGGTCACTTTTATCCAGCGGAACACTAATCAAAGCAATTAGCGTAAAAATAATGGCTTACGTGTAGCCTTCTAAGTTATCACGATAGGATGAAGTCACATTATATTTTTGCTCATTTACTGCAAACATAGCCTCCGGAGGGAAATTGTCATCCGATGTTAAAGAAAATGCTTCTGCATCTTCATTAGAATTGAAGTAGTGCTGCAAACATGTATCGGGATCGTCAAGCGAACACGAAACATCTGGCGGCGCCTCGTCTGAAAAAAAAACGGTTTACACAATGCATCAGACTACCTTTATGCACTTCCACAGGGTTCACGTTGAATAGGACTATTTTCCTTATATCTGACACATTTATAACTTTATCCTCTTCAACTTCAAAAGGCCCATCATCTGCTCCCCATGGGGATGAACGAACACATTTCATACCAAATTCGCCCTTAAAAAACCGTTAAATATTGATAATATATTACATTAGGCGCGACAGCTTTAATGACACCAACGCACTTCTGGTTAGATGTGTACACCTCGCCAACATTTCCCTAAAGAGTTAGAGCTAACCACAGAACTTTACCAGAAAACACCGTGCAAAATGATACGTCAAATGTGGACTCGAATACATACCGAAATCCCCAGAGGAGTGAGCCTACGTATACGAAAGTATAAAATGAGGAATTACTTGAACAGACGACAACTTAGGAATGCGCATTTGGGGCTTCTTGCGTGGTCTACAATAGGTTATGGGCGAGTAGTTTAAGCTACCTCTGGTTCTGTTTTAAAACGCGTTTAGCAGAGGTTGACATTGTTGAAGTATGCTGCGCAAGTTTTATGGAAGAGAACGAGTGACCAAGGAAAACCAAAAAAACCAACAGCCAATTTCTTCGGATATGCACTTTAAAGAGATAATTTAAACAAGCAGAATACCCCGTGTTACCGTACCAAAAAAATAACTTTCTGACAGATACAAAATGATTTGTTTTACCTTGTATGATATGCAAACAAGATTACTTTCTCTTGCGTAATCATAAAAAATCTCTTGTTATACGGATTTGGCACAGCCTGTTTTGAATACTTGAAATCAGAAATCAGGTAAAATTTTAAATAGTGGTAAAACAATTAATTAATGGCTTAAGGGTCTCTGTCTTAAGAGAATTTATGAAAAAATCTATGGTTTCATTGAAATTTTTTTACGTTAAATACTTTGGCACTGTCAAATATGCACGGCAAAATCAAGTCGTGCGATATTAATGTGCAGTTATCTCGCCTTTTTTCGACATACTGGATGAAAAAGGAAACACCACTTTCTAGAATAGCCTCTCAGGCATATGTCAGAAACAAAATTCCTTAAAAATTGATAATTAACTTCTAAGTCAATGAGTAATTAGATGACATCAGATGCAGCATCGTAATTCATCTTGCCCTTCTTTTGCCCTTCTTTCTTTTGTGGTTTTTCATCTAGCCGAATTTTTCCATGGTTGTATCTTGTGTTTTGACTTGAGTTTTGTTAAATTGTTAATTGTTATTATTGGGTTATTAAACAGCCCTTAGTACTCCAAATTAAAATAAATTTAACCAAAATACAAATAACATAATTGTGAAAAAGATCGAAATTTTATGGATTCACTTTTCTTGAATTCGATCTCTAAAGTAAAATAGAAGGTTGAGTTAACATTCAAATAACATTTTCATTGACACCATTATATTATCGGGTCATATTGGAGCAATGTACTTAATAGCAAATTATGGAACTTTCGACGTATTAGCCTTTGTGGTGTATTACAATTGGCGAATGATAAATTAAGCCGCATCACATGAATCTGAAGGCGAATCGAAACATTGGCTGAAATGTTAATGTAAGGTTAATCATCTCGCATACTTCGTCCGTATTATCGACCCATTATTGAAAAGTTTTTTTATTTCAAAAAAGATCAAAGCAAACATATCCTATTTCAATAAGGGACAGTGCACATTGAAATCGTGCACCAGTGGCTTTTAGATACCACATATCATTTTTTTAATTTTGTGAAGTTACGCATAGTAATTATAGTAATAATAGTTAAAATACATTTTTTGAGGTGAATTGGCATCTTTACATATTTCACAGAGATTTCGTACAAATTCTTATTCACGTGTTAATTCTGGAAGGTAATGACTGACAACACAAAGCAGAATCTCACACATGAAGTGATTGTTTTTTTAAATGTTGTTGGGTGAATGTTCCATTGATACATAAGTAAAATTCGCAATTCTTAAAAGGCCTGAAAAATTTATTGACTCCATTACTGGCAGTTGATAATGGAAGTGCCGTCAATGAAATTTCCTTCTAAAAGTTAAAATTAAAAATAAATAGAAAAATGCAACGGGCAAATAAGATTTTAAAACGAGGCTTTTGTGTCCTCAAATCAGAACCTTAACAATAACATGCTAGAAAAACTTGTGAATTTAAAAATGACCCACAAGCAAAAGTCTCTCAATGTATATTTACTTAAGGTATTGCAGTGTTGGGTTTAAAATAATTCAATTGTCGATGTGTGAAATTTTTTTCAATGTATATATGTATTCCTTTATGGAATAATTGTGGTTTTTAGATATTTATTTCGCTGGCTTACAATTAGGTACTTACACCTTTTAGTGAAGTCATTATGACTATTACTAATTGCATTTAGAGTTTTACAACGTCTCATGGTTCACCCAGAACAATGAATCTCAAATTATGTTAATTTTTTTACAGTGTCTTTGAAAGGTCGGTCTGAAATTTAATGAAGATGCTCGAAGTATACCTTAAATGGTCTATTGTACATTAAAGAATCTAAAAAGTTTAATTGCTTTAAAAGAAGTTAAAAAATACTGCTCACTTAGGTCCACGAATTTATTTCCTGGTTCATTAACCAAACATTCTAACTTCAGTATAGGTTTAAGATAAGCTTTTCTAACTATTCAAATTGTGGTCATATATTAAACACGCTGACTTGTTTCCACAAATTTTCGAATCATTTTTTCCTAAATTTGATATTATTACTGGACAATCGATACCCTTGTGATATAAGCTGTTGTGCCATTGGTTTATTTCCACCTTCAGCTTCTTTGCCTTCAGCCCGAAGTACGTTTATTCTGTTTTCTCATTCTTCAAATTGCACGTTATGCACGGACAGGTTAAAGTTCGTAGGTCGCCAGAGCATGAAGCTAAACTTCGGGAAATTCAAAAACAAACGAGTAAAAATTTCACAAAATTAGCAGATGAAGTTTTGGCCAGACGACGCTCTGGGGATTTTGGTCTCGGGATTTTGGTTAAAGTTGCTGAGCTGTTGGAAAAGTCTCCTGATACATTTACACTCTGGAACTACCGGCGTGAAATATTGACATATCCCACTAATGCCAACACTTCTGCCGACGCTAGGTCGAAGATGTTTGACAATGAACTCGTTTTAACTTCCAAATGTCTCATGAAGAATCCCAAGTCCTACGCTACATGGCATCATCGGACTTGGACCATGTCGCACCATCCCACTCCTGATTGGAAAGCTGAACTTGACCATTGTAATAAGGCACTAAAATCAGATGATCGAAACTTTCATTGCTGGGATTATAGGAGATTTGTCGTTAAAAGTTCCAGGACTCCAAATGCTGATGAACTTGACTTTACTTACATGACTCTGGAAGAAAACTTTAGCAATTATTCTGCTTGGCATTACAGGAGTAGTTTAATTGGTGGAAGTGACGAAATTTATACCGTCGCGACTCCCGTTAGTCCACCACCCTCTCTCGACATCAATCGCACTTTAGACGACCCCTGCTATCCATGGGATGACTTTGATCTGGTCCACAATGCTGTTTTTACTGACCCTAAAGATCAGGGCCCCTGGTTTTACTATTGGTGGCTTCTCGGACGTGGTGTAAAACATTCTTATCTGCGCGAGGTCTACCTTTCTAGAAGTCTTCAGCGCGCTGTTCTTGTTTTTACTTCTCCAAAGCTTAAAAGCGCTATTAGCCATTTAAATGTCGATGTTGTTGTATCGGATCCGTCTGCCAACATAGTTAGTACATACACTCCTAACAATTTTGATGGGTGGAAGAGTGCTTTGGATGATAATGTTTCTGCTGTGTGGTGGTTTGAGTTACCAAAAGAGGTAATTGAAGGTTGCGTAGTCTCTGTCACTGTTCACACAGAAGAAACTCGAGACACAACATCCGCTCGTTCTCCTACCGTCGATGGCTCTAAAACGTGGCTTTACTGTCAAATGGAACCTGACCAGCATGAATCTTTAACAAGAGTAGCTCTTGATCCTCGTCGTCTCCTTAACTTTATGATCTCTCCCATTCATGAACCTTCCAGTCTGTTGGGTGAGCTTGATACCGTTCGGGAACTCGTTGCAATGGAACCTAATAACAAATGGGCCCTATTGACACTTGTTAGTCTACTTCGCTATATCCGTCCCCCCAACTGCACCAATGAGATCGAGACTGCCGTGAAAACTTTGCAGGCAGTCGATAGTCATAGAACACGTTATTACGCTGATATGGCAAGCGCACACGCTACAGAAGATGCTCTTGTTGCTTCCTATGCTATCAATTCGCGAGCGCTCAATCTTTCGGGGGTCGGATTAACGCGTGTATGCTGTCTTGACTGGTGCAGCCTGATGACCCACCTCAACTTCTCGAACAACCATTTGGACATGCTTCCCGGAACATTCGCCTACTTGGTGTGTCTTAAAGAACTCCTTTTAGACGACAATCGAATTTCAACTCTGAGGCCTATTGCTGGCCTTCCTCAGCTAAAACGAGTATCAGTGTGTAGGAATCTTATCGCTCATTTCGAAGGTCTTGACCCTGCTCTTTCTTGTCCAAATCTTCGTGATCTTGATATCACCGGCAATAATGTTGCTGAACTGCCTGATTTCACAGTTCTTTTAGCTGAGCACCCCGGCTCGAAACGAAGTCATAATTCACTCAACGTTGTATACAATAAACCTGTGAAGACTTAGACCAAACTCATTGGTCACCACTTGTTTATGTATTTATATAAGTATACTATTTATATACAAAGCTCCACGCCCACCAGCCCATGAGTCGGAATCTGAATCTGTATAACTGCCAGAATTCCCAGCATGAATTTCAACATTTATTTTGTCGCCTTTCCTCCATCTTATACATTTATCTTGTGATAACATTCCTTCTTTGTTGCTTTACATGCTGTCATTTGACGCTAGCATTTACTTCCCGATTAAATTCTTGAGAAATATTGGGTGGCCTTTTCTTGTGTCCTCGGTCTAGTCCGCTTGTGATGATGTTTCCTGAATTTACCACTTTGTGGTTGTGAAAAAGCTACTATTCCCTTTGACGAAACTCGTGACTAAGTTCTGTGTTTATATTTTTATCGCCTTAGCGAGTTCATATTGCTTTTAAAGTAGTAAAATTACGTAGATTAATGTTAGTACCATAGGGTTTGTGCTGCTGAAATTGTTTATGTGCATGCTGATCATTACACTGAGGATACTCTATTTTATAATCGCGTTACCATGAATGTTATGCAATATTCGTGTTTAGTCATGAAGTATAAATAATGAACTTCTATGGTGTCAATCGCCTAACTGACCCACTTTATTGAATGCCAGGCCTCCTGTCGATGACCGTGCATGGATACTAATGAAACATTACCCCTAACTTCCTAAACTATGCATCACCAAATGAGCCTACATTATTCATTTGGGCCGACGTTGTCTTCTTCATCGTTTAGTAATCTGAAGCAATAGAATCATAACTTGATGGTAACAATGAATGTCTTTTTCAAAACTGTGGAAAACCATGGTCTACGTTGAACAGTTATCCCTTATTGGTGAATCGTTTATTATAACGTGGCGTCATGTATGGCATCGGTTCGAGGATGGATCTGTTATGACAGCCAAGGTTCACGCTTTAAGGGCATTGGAAAAACGAAATTCGAGCACTTGCACTTTGCTACTTCTATATCGGAAGCTGGCAATAGGACTTATTCGGACTGTATTAAATTACCTAACTTCACTCCGGCTTTGTGGCAAGGAGTGGTTTTTGTTTAATTCAATACAATGCCACTTTGGTTATCATTGTGGAATACTACAAGCCTTAGTTGCATCAATGCTAGTAGGCGTTTGCATTAAGAAATCAAATTTTCGTTTATCTTACCGCTACACAAATTCTTATTGATCGAAAATAAAAGTATGAGTGTTAGTTTTTATTCGACTATTTTCACCCTGTATGCTGCTTTGCAACACTTCTTTCTAGCCATGTTTTTTTGCCATGTCATAACTGCTTCAGATAATGATTTCGAGCTCTACATTTCATAAAAGCATTCGCATAATGATAAGTCACTCTCCTGTTTCTGTATTTGAAAACTCGATTCACCGTTTTATAAAGTAACCAATGCCTCTAGTGCACTGATATTTCGGGTTCGATCTACAATTATATTTCGCGCGGGCTCCATCATTCCGTCTAATAAGTATTGAATAGGGCTTATTTTATAAAAGTAATATCTTACACCACCTAAAACGATTACTTGAAGCTCTTGGAGGTGTTTGATTTGCCAAGTATTTTTCCAAAAAAATGTTTTACTTGGCTTGGCCTTGAGAGGTGATACTTTGACAATTAAAAAAACACCATTTGTGGATTTTTGGAGGTAATTGAGACGCATTTTTGCCTGTTTTTTTGGCATTGATTACTAATAAATTTGGACTAGATAAATCTGATAAATGAGAAATCGTCGCTGTTTCACCAGCATTCCTAACCTGCTGCTGTTCCGTTATCAGTACGATACTAGTACTTCTACAATCTATGTTCGTGAGTTTAAGATACTGATGACCATAAATTTGATTTTGTGCTCACCTTAACCAATCTACCAAATTATATGAGCAAATCTCTGTGCAAATAAGTTTCCCAAAGTTAGTCTTTCAGTTTTATGAAACTTTAAGTCGGAATTTGAGGTTTCCCACCAACAACGTTTCTGCGCGCGTTATACTCTAGACAAACTAATTACTATTTTCATCTGCACCGTTTACTACCAGGAGTCTAACCTTCTTCTTATCCCATGGCAATATGTATCAAGCCACACATTAAGGTGGTTATTTGTATTTGATTCTACCTTTGTAGGCACGCCTGACACCATGAGAACCATCAACTTGAACAAAGCAGGTATGGAGGGTCTTGATGCTGAAACAATCAACAAAATCATTGAAGAGAATTCGAAAGGTATTTTTCAGTTTTATGGGTGTTATCCGCCAGTTAGTCTCCCATGATGCGTTATGCACAAACTAGTTGATATACTATTCAGTAGTCCGTCCAATGTTTCCACCTCATCCGAACTGATTTATAGAGTAATAGCGTTTATTTATCTTGGTTATACCTTCTGGCTATGGTGTATGGCATTACTTTAGCATTTTGTAGGTAAAAAGTGCGCCATGATTAGCTTGTTATCTAGTTTGGCTATAAGGTAGAGTGATATCGCGCTGTTAAAGCTTCGTTAACATGTTTATTCTCATGTATGGACCATTTGCCTCTTAATTTAGATTATTAAGTGTTCAAACATCTACTTCGATGCCTTCACGACCGACTTATTAAGCAGTGTCATTCTGGAGTAAAGCCGATTGGTTAAACACCATCCACGCTAATATAGAATCAAGTAAATGTGACAATATGGTTGCTGATAAAACCTAGCAGAGTACACCACTTTTAGGATCTAGGTCTAAATCTGCTAATTTATCTTAATGTCTGATAGTTTTGTGCCATTCACTTCTATTACTAGTTGAAGTTATAAGCCGTTTCATGTTCAGTCTATGATTTTGTAAGGCGCCGTTTGGTCCATCGCCCACACCGGACTGAAATACGAACCTAACACAACGCCATTCTACAGTTTCAAGTTACGTTAAAGGACCGACAAATGCCGTTAGCAATCTGAAATGCTTCCCATAGTGTCATGCAAAATTATTTGTAAATGTCTTGCACTTTTTTTAGTCTGCTGTGGCAATTAGACGGGAATGGGCCAATAAATGGTCAGCTATAACACTTCTAACATCGATACATAATAACAAATGTTGCAGAAACCCAACACAGTCTGGTCAGATTCCACCACTTTATGCATTGTTTACTGTGTAAGAAGGGACATAACGTGATATCTCCTCTTATCTAGGGTCAAAATTTTATGAAAACGAGATGCGTCGTGGTGCCATCATTAAGAAGCAGGTCGAGGAGAAGCTCACCAAAATGGAGTCGCTGACTCGGGCTGAGATTGAGGCCGGTGAGAAAGAGGTAAGATCTATGTTAGCGCCCGCATCTAGGGACGACTTTGAAGCGTCTTTTTCCGGAGCAAGCGCAGTTCTTGCTCTCAGAGCCTGGCAATAGTGAGTTATTGTTATCGTGGCTGTGAAGATCCCTCAAACTGTCTCTTTTTGTAGCTCTACTGGTAGTTTCCCATAATGCAAGATTGCTTCCCACAAGCAGGTGTTGCTATTGGGTATAGATTATATGTGCTTGTTGCCCATAGTAATACTCGTGCATCCATGCGTTCGTTTTTAGATTCGCGCAAGATATGTATTTATAAAATTCGACTAAAAAAATTTGTGGCATTAAACGTGGACGCCTTTAACCAGTCTTTAGTCGATTTTAACTATCAAAAGTGACATTTTTCGTCAAATTTTGGATGTCCTTAGAAGTTCTACACGTATGTGGCATGATTGCACCATCTTAAAGAGTCGCTAACTTAAAAGGAAAACATATTTGAGGGAATCTCGTAGTTGAAATACCTCGGTCAGGTATGTATTTGTTACTTTGCCTTTTCGGTTTGCCATTCTGGTAATACTGGAGACGGCAGTTCATGGAGTGGAATATCATCATATTTAAACTTTTTGTTGCTTTGGGTTTTTCACTGTTAATTAACAACAAGCGCCAATCTGGTCGCCTACTGCGATTCCTATCAGGCACTTTTTTTTAACTTCAATGAGTCTTAGCAGCAGCAATATTAACGGCTCACGAGAGTGTGTAGTTGCCATTCAAACGCAGAACTTTGCTGCGGGCTCATACATGAGAGCAGTCAACATCAACGCCAACTAAAGCTTTTTACACTTGAACGTCTTGATTTCGAGTTCCATGTACTGATCCACCAGGAATTGCACAATCTGCCATGTACAAGTAGCATGTATGAATGGTTTTAACTTTGCAAAACGGCCAACCCTTCACAAGAACTGCTGCGTTGAGTTTCAGCCTGCCTTGCTTATCCGGGCTTCAAATAAGCATTTATTGTTCAACAGTCGCTTCGCGTCTAATAGCTGTGGCTCGGCTCGGCTTTTGGTAGCAGGTGCTTTGACCGATTATTTTGTCATTGCAGCAGAGCGTTTGATTTATTGCCAAAGGCTGTTGGTGACACTACAACCACAATAGCACCCACGTTGCCTGCAGCCGCAATTTCTAGCACGAAGGGGGCCCTGATTTGTAAGTGGGCACTCCACCTCATTCTAAGCCTAAACTATGGATGGCGTTAAGCATACCATCTGAACCGAAACGGGTCATTTTGTAGCACATGAGATGGCCTTGGCACACCTGCGAATTTCGCACAGCGTTTTAGTGGAAGCAGAAGTCTTGGCTCCCATTTCAATTCATTGACTTCTCGTAACGTCCTTTCAGCTTACTATTTTTTTACTAAGTTGACCTGGTTAACCAAGTCTCTGGCCCCCAAGTTGCAATTTACTAGGACTGGCGTCTGCTAAGGTGGCTGTTTTTAGGCAGACTACCACTGATTATAAGGGTGCTTCTTTTGTTTTACGCTCTCTTACAAGAATCTCATGGGGCGAAGCTTTTAATTTTGAAGATTAGTGACAGAAGAAGTAGGGAAGCAATCGAATATTTGTAACGAGGTTAAGATTGTCAGGACATTCGAGTCTGTCGTGCGTTTTCTTCATTTAGTCGCACGAAAGCGTTATAGTGTATTAGTACATTGGAGACCTGTTTGTGTGAGCTAAAG